ATGAATGAGTTTTTAATGTTTTTAGTGTTTTTAATTTTTAATTTTGTGTGTGTGTGGTGATTTTTTGAAGTGTATTGTGAGCCGCCCTGAGTCTTCGGAGAGGGGCGGCATATAAATTGAATTAATTAAATTAAATTAAATTAATAGAGAAAGGAATTTTAGATAGTCAAAGTCTACCCTATCTGGACTGCAAAGGTCTGATTGACCAGACTCTGGAAACAAAGAGGTAGAATTTTCTATGTCTCTTTGCTGCCAACTTGTCCTCAGCAAGATTTTGAAGCCCTAAGTGACCCAATCAACATTTTTCAGAGAATGTCCTTTCTTTGATACATTTGAATTTCATCCATTATGAACATGGATATTTCAGTAATAAAAAAATAAGTGAGACATGATTGTTCTTGCATATGTTATTTTGAGCTGCCCAGAGTTGATGATTCGGGCAATATGTAAGTGCTGTGGAAAAAACCATGTACAAATTTAAGCAATGAAATTTCCTTGTTATATTCATCTTCTTTTCTCACAGTGATGAAAAGAAGTTTCTTGACCAGTGGAATAAACCTACAAAATACGTGAGCATTTCTTAGAAATGTCAAAGTGGACCTGAAAACAGGTTGAACTTCTAGTGCAAGTAAATCCCTCTTCTTTTTTTTTCTTTAAAAGATTCAGGATCCATGTATGCTTCTCAACAAGCATACAAAGGCTTTGCCAACCAGACTTTGGTCAAATGATCAGCCTTGTTTTTCTGTTTACCCTGATATTAGAAATGTTTTGGGATCATTTATACGTGCAAGTGAAAAAGGTAACATTTGCATTGGCTAAAATGGTCCACAAACATTTGTATTTGCCCAACATATGTGAAATTTCAAAACAGAAAGGAATTGTCTTTGACAGAAGAAAACAGAACTCAGCAGTGTTTTATGGGTGACAAAAGCTACATTTGTTATCTTGCTGCTGTAGAAATTAGTTCTAGATGTTCTTGGAATTAAACTCCCTTCTAAGTTTACACAATAAATGATGTCAGACATTATTGTTAAATATGAAAAGGCAACAGTACTGACAACTTTGATTTATCTCCAATCTGATTCTCTCCATGTCTTCCAATTGTAAGTTTTCAAATTCTTAGAAAGTATGAAATGGAGGAGAAGAGATGTGTTAGTCTGTGGCAGCCAAAAATCAGAAGGTGCTGGTAGCACCTTTTCAAATTTAATTGAAAGCTATAAACATTAATTAACTGTAATTGTATTTCACAAAAGTGATGCCTTTTAATTAAATTTGTAAGTCTGAAAAGGTGCCACCAAACGCCTTTGATAGTTGGAAAGTATGGAGGGTGCCAAATTGAAAAAGACCTGTATTTCAGTAACTTACAATTCAGAGAGTAATAACAGCCCATTTGAAACAGTTTTGCAGGTCCAGATGTGCATATGAAATTCATATCCCAACATAATCCTCAATCTAAAATTTAGTTCACTCCTGGTGTGTGGGTGCTATATTTCAGTGAAACACAGGAAGGTATGTTTAGAGATGAGAGATGACATCTGTTCTAATCTTTTCTTGCTGGTTAATTTTGGCTAGATTGAGGCTCTATCTATAATTACATGAGAGAGTTCTTGTTTTCTTGAGTGAGGGATGTATTTAAAGAAGGCAGTCATATTGCTTTTACTGAAAACACTATCCTTAAAACTGGAACATCTTTATAATTATAAGCCAGTCTTCCAATCTTTCATTCTTAGTGAAGGTAATACTCTTAAAGTGCAAGATATATCTGGATAAAACATCCCACCTACTTCAAGTGGAGTGCCATCTAGGATATGATACTGAGAATACTTTGTTCACTTTCATGAATAACTACGCAAGAAGCTAGATTCAAGGAATATGGCACTGCTAGTTCTATTACCAATCTTCAGTAGCATTGGCCATGGTATTCCTCTGGGCCATGGTAGAGACACTGTTTCAGCTTATTTCCTGTTTGGATGTACCTAGAAGGTGGTGCTACTAAACTACTGTTTGAGATCTGTGTCATTGACCTATGACATTATTTATGTGTCCTACATTGTTCCACATTTTCATGAAATTGATGGGAATAATCTTACTAGGGGTGACATGATAGCAGTCTTCCAAAATCTAGTAGGCTGCCACCAAAAAGAGGGACTCAACCTATTCTACAAAGCACCTGAAAGCAGGACAAGAAGCAATGGATGAAAATTTATGAAAGAGAGAGCCAACCTAAAACTTAGAAATAAGGAGAAATTTCCTGACAGTGAGAATAATTAATCAATGGAACTGCTTGCCTCCTGAAGTTGTGGGTGCTCCAACACTGGAGGTTTTTTTAAAAAAAGATTGGGCAACCATTTGTCTGAAATGATATAACATCTCCTGCTTGAGCTGGGGATTGGACTAGAAGACCTCCAGTGTCCCCGCTCTAAAATTCTAATTCTTATCCTAATTCTGAACTTTTCAAGTTAAATGCAATTATCAAGCTGGTAAAATCCTGTTCTTTTGTTCCCTGTGAAAGTTGGACTTCAAATGGCTGTAGCAAAGAATATATTCATACTGCTACAGATAATATGCCAACTACAGTAATTCTTGAACCATTCAGGCTGTTAGTCATGCTTGAATTTCAACCTATTATGATCAATGCAAGGTGCTTTATCAGGGATTGCCTGTGCAAACGTCTAGGCTGCTGACTGGCCCTGCAAACAGAGGAAATGAAAGAACTGCTCTAAATGCAAGTTGCCCCCTGGGAATAATTTAATAAGCTGTGGTTGACCTTTCAAGACCTAAGCAGCTTAGGGACAGACTATCTGGAGGGCCACCTCTCTCTCATAAATACAGGAGATCTGCTAATTACTACCGACTCATAGTGGGCGCCTGAGTCCCCACAGTCTCACTTTGCATCCTTTACAACCCTCTGACCATGAAGCTGACACCAATTTCCCGGCCGTTCTTGGTGGGAAAGGGATGGATAATATAACAGCAAACACACACATACACAAACCCCCTTTTTCCCCAAGCCCATCCTTACCTGCATATGTGATACAATTCGACTCATCTTGCAATCCTCTATTCCTCCCCCTCCCCTTGTTGTGTTCAACCCTGCATGCCAAAAGGTAGTCCATTTTGGGAACAGATGACGTTCCGTAGAATGGTCTAATGATCTAACTGGGGAAATGGTAGCACTGTGTTCTTTAAATATCTCTTGGTTGGAATTTGCTTTCATCTGATGGTAGATGCTTGTTTTAGGTCATTTTTTTAACAGACAGGATAATATGCCAAAGGAGCAGAGCAGCAGAGCATGAACTGGAAAAAAAATGCAATTACACTGATTTTCTGCTGCTGGCAGAATAGAATCAGCTTTAATTTCAATTCAGGTAATACCTTTTTATTAGACCAAAGTGCAACCTGTGCAAACTGTAACAAGTGGCTGGCTCCCATTATTATTTATAAAAATAGTGTTATTTATTTAGTTATATACCCCAATGATCATGGTGTCAGATTTAAAACAAATTATAATAGAATGTTTTTGTTAGTTGCAAAGTCGTATCCGACCCATCGCAACCCCATGGACAACTTTCCTCCAGGCCTTTCTGTCTTCTACCATCCCCCGGAGACCATTTAAGCTCACACTGACTGCTTCAATGCCTCCATCCATCCACCTCATTCTCTGCCGTCCCCTTCTTCCTTTGCCCTCAATCGTTCCCAGCATTAGGCTCTTCTCCAGTGAGTCCTTCCTTCTCATTAGGTGGCCAAAGTATTTGAGTTTCATCTTCAGGATCTGGCCTTCTAAAGAGCAGTCAGGGTTGATCTCTAGGACTGACCGGTTTGATCGCTTTGCAGTCCAAGGGACTCGCAGGAGTCTTCTCCAGCACCATAGTTCAAAGGCCTCAATTCTTTGGCGCTCAGCCTATGGTCCAATTTAATAGAATACTAGAATACTATTAAACTTTTATTCTGCCTGAATTTTTTTCACACCTCTGTTTAATTCCTAATATATTGAAGCAATTACCATTTGTATTTTAATTATTTTGGTTTGAGAGGAAGGAACCAAATTATTTTGGTTTGAGAAGTCCAGCTTGGACTTATGGGGTAGTATTTTTTAATTTTTTAAAATACTTTTCTGATATTTTTTATGTATATTTGTTGGTTTTTAACAGTCGCTTGGTCGATTGTCGTTGTGAGCCACCCTGAGTCCTTGGAGATAGGGCGGCATACAAATTTTATAAAATAAAAATAAATAAATAAAAATAAAATATGAATGCCATTTAAAAGAAGTGCTCCATGGATTGAAAAAGTGCTGGAACTGGCTGTGATGGGAAAGTTAATTGTGTTGATTAAGGAAAAGAATGTATCAAGCTTTCTTTCTACTTGGAAAGTAGACTTTCTGCTCAAAAGAGAAAAAACAAAACCCCTAATTTTGGGTTGTGATGATTAAAATAGGTGGTTGTTATAGAAATGGCTAATACTCAGTATTATGTAGAACTGAAAAGTTGAGTTTATAAATTTACTATGTAACTGTCTATGGAGATTCTCAGTCATTCGTGACATAGTTGTCCCAAACGTTCTTTGTCAAAAGGCAACTGGATTTTCTTCGTTTTGCTTCAGTCAGAACTGAAGAAGCTTCTTGAACGAGAAGTGAAACATCTTCAAGCAAAACAAAGAAAATCCAGTTGCCTTTTGAAAAAGCACCTTAATATAACTTAATGCACCAGGAGAAGTAGGAAGTCACAGTTTTTTTCTTCTTCCATCTCCCCCAGACTTTTCCTTTCCCTTTACTTATTTTCCCAATTGCCTTTATTTTCATTTGTATTTTATATTTTAAAAAATTTCAATAAAAATAAAATTTTAAAGGAAGTGCTCCACCAATAAGGAGACATTATCCTATAACAAGTTTATAGGTTAGTCTGGTAGTTTTTTTGGAAGTCAAGATATTTTGTGTTTGGTATCAAATTGTGTATATCCCACCTGTCAAAAGTCTGATTTATTTATTTTTCCTCCTTATCCAGGTAGCATCTCTTGGAGTAACAACCTTCACATTATGTGCTCTCTGTATAGACCGATTCCGTGCTGCCACCAACGTGCAGATGTATTATGAAATGATTGAAAACTGCACATCTACAACAGCCAAACTGGCTGTGATATGGATTGGAGCTTTACTGCTGGCTCTTCCTGAAGTGGTTCTGCGCCAATTGACTAAAGAAAATTCCGAAATCAGTGGGAACCCACCTGTGGAACGATGTGTGGTCAAGGTTTCTCCCCACTTACCTGACACAATATATGTGTTAGCGCTTACATATGATGGTGCAAGGCTCTGGTGGTACTTTGGCTGTTACTTTTGCTTACCGACACTTTTTACCATCACTTGCTCATTGGTGACTGCCAGGAAAATCCGAAAGGTGGAAAAAGCTTGCACCCGTGGGAACAAGCGACAGATTCAGCTGGAGAGCCAAATGAATTGCACAGTGGTGGCGTTGACCATTTTGTATGGTTTTTGCACCATTCCGGAAAACATTTGCAATATTGTCACTACCTACATGTCCACAGGGGTATCTCAGCAGACGATGGACCTTCTCCATCTGATTAGTCAGTTTCTCTTGTTCTTTAAATCTTGCGTGACTCCAGTTCTCCTCTTTTGTCTTTGTAAACCATTCAGCCGAGCTGTTTTGGAGTGTTGCTGTTGCTGTTGCGATGAGTGCATTCAGAAGTCTTCTACAGTAACAAGTGACGATAATGACAATGAATATACCACAGAGCTTGAACTGTCCCCTTTTAGTACGATACGTCGTGAAATGTCCACATTTGCCTCTGTGGGAACTCACTGTTGATTTTCCCTTTGATCAGAATTCTTTTCCAACTTAAAATAAAGTTGGTTTGAGTTTTAGATGTAATTTCAGTTGGATCCTGTTTTTTTTCCTATGTTTGCAAAAGAAAAAGTAAATTGTGTAAAATTTAAAGAATGCCAGTTTGTATATAACAACTTTTCTGTGAGAAATAACTTTAGTTACTAAAAAGAACGGACTTAACAGGGATCTTTAGAATCATTATCTTGATGGTGCTAGCATTTCTTTATTAAGGGAAGGTCGAACTAGTTTTGGCCACTTTCTTCTATTATTTAAACTAATACAGATTTTGGTTTGGGTAATTATTACTGGAATTTCATTCATAATGTTTATAACAAGCATTTCTAAAGTTGCAATCCTAAATAAAGATACTTGATAGTAATCTTCTTAAATTTAGACTTCTGCATAAATATGCAAAGGATTCCACTGTTTGTCTATGAACTTTTTAAAATATGGAAACAAATATTAGTAAGTCCATTTATTTTGAGGCATGTAAATTATGTGCCTATATATTTTACTAATGGGGTTTTAAACTGCTTAACCAAGATCACTGTATCCTTACCCCTCCCCCCAAATGTTTTGACCAGACTATGTGATTTAGAGTGTTTGAGAATAGTTTTAAGTTTGTTTGATGTAAATAATTATGAGATAGTTTGACACAGAAACAATAGTATTTTTATTGTATTCCCTGTACTGTTAGCCAGCAATTAAATAATTTTACCAAGTAATATAAGAAAATTCCCATAGGGGAAAGCAATCATTTTTATGTTGACTTGTAATAAAATAACTAAGATGGTCTTCATAATATGCTGTTCCAGTCAAAAGCATACATCCTATGCATGTATATGCATAAAGGTGTAAAGCCTCTTCCTTTGCCAGTATGACCAACAATAACCATTTATGGAGTAGAGTAGGATATATAATTGTATGGGTGGCTTCTAAGTATAAGCTCTAATTGTATGTTAACCCATTGAATTGGAAGTTAGAACATATCTGCACAACAGGTTCCCAATATTGTACACCTTTCAAAAAATCGTAACAAATCCCTTAATTCTGCAGTACACAATACTCAGGCTGAAGATTGTTTCTTTTTAACCCATTGTTGTATGCAAAGGCATGTATTCTGTCTGTCCCAATGGGGATTCCCACTCATATTGGGTGTATGACTTGTGATTCTATTAGTTTCTTTTTACAGTATTTTCTACAATAAAGGTATGTCTTCAGTCTGTGTATATAACACTTGCTGTAAGTGAAAATGCCATTTGTAGGAAGTAGAGAATTGCCACAGAATTAGTGACAATAAATTTGGAAGGCTTACAATGTGTGGTGCATATTTTATTTCCTGATATTGTTTCTTAGAAATACATAAACATAGAATTGAAATCACATTTCAGAAACTCAATGGTATATTTATGTTGCTTTATGAAGACTGTTTACATCTTCTGTAGTGAGAGGTAGAGGAAGAAGGTATTTTTTAAAAAAAATGTTGAGTGCTTTTGTCAAACTTGATTGAAACAATATCTGTGAAAACAGTGGGAACAAAGCAAGTGTTCTTGGTGTTTTTAAGTAGAAATTCAAGCAGATTTTATACAATATTTCCCTTCCTACTGCCTAATACAAGCCTAATTCCTAACCCTAATACTGTATACATAACTGTATTTATTCACAGCTTTGGTCTTCTACCTGTTCTTGATATAAGATAAAAAAGAGGGCATGATAACCAGATACCATAATCACACTGCATCATAATGTAGTGGTTAGAAAGTTCAGAATTTACATTTTTTATTTTTAAAAAATTTGAATTGATATAATGTTAACCAGTTATAGCATGCTCAAAAAAATTTCTATCAGTCAGAGAGTGAAAGTTGAACAAATTTGAACTCTACCTGAAATAGATTAGTTTGGAACACGATGAAAATGAAAGGTTTTATGTTACAAAAGTTGGGGAATACAGAAAGCACTAATCCTGAATGAAGATCGCTAAGGTACTAGAGACCCCTTCATGGATTACTGCCTTCTCATGGCGAAGGGGCTTGCATAGCTCAATGAAGCTATGAGCTATGCCATGCACCTAAGACGGACAGGTCATAGCAGAGAGTTCTGACAAAACATGATCCACTGGAGAAGGAAATGGCAACTCACTCCAGTATCTTTGCCACAAAAACCCCATGGACAGTGCCAAAAGGAAAAAAGATATGATGCTGGAAGATGAGCCCCTCAGGCCAGAAGGTGTCCAATATGCAACTGGGAAAGAGCAGAGGGCTAGTACTAGTAGCGCCAGAAAGAGTGAAGCGACTGGGCCAAAGCCGAAAGGACGCTCAGTTGTGGATGCATCTGGTAGTGAAAGGAAAGTCCGATGCTGTAAAGGTTTTTTCTCCATAGGAACCTGGAATGTATGATCCATGAATCAAGGCAAGCTGGACGTGGTCAAACATGAGATGACAAGGCTGAACATTGACATCTTAGGACTCAGCGAACTAAAATGGACAGGAATGGGTGAATTTAATTCAGATGACCATCAGGTATACTATTGCAGGCAAGAATTCCTCAGAAGAAATGGAGTAGCCTTCATAATCAATAAAAGTAGGAAAAGCAATACTGGGATACAATCCCCAAAATGACAGAATGATCTCAGTTCGAATCCAAGACAAACCATTCACTATCACAGTAATCCAAGTCTACGCCCCAACCAGTGGTGCTGAAGAGGATGAAATTGACCAGTTCTATGAAGCCCTACAGCACCTTATAGAATTAACACCAAAAAGTGATGTCCTTATCATCACGGAGGATTGGAATGCTAAAGTAGGAAGCCAAAAGATAACTGGAATAACAGGCAAATTTGACCTTGGAGTACAAAATGAAACAGGGCACAGGCTGATAGAATTCTGTCAAGATAATTCAATGGTCATAGCAAACACTCTTTTCCAACAACTCAAGAGACGTCTCTACACATGGACATCACCAGACAGTCAACACAGAAATCAGATTGACTGTGATCTGCAGCCAAAGATGGAGAAGCTCTATACAGTCAGTAAAAACAAGACCAGGAGCTGACTGTGGCTCAGTCAGTAAAAACAAGACCAGGAGCTGACTGTGGCTCAGATCATGAGCTTCTCGTTGCAAAATTTAGGCTTAAATTGAAGAAAGTAGAGAAAAGCACTAGGCCACTCAGGTATGAACTAAATCATATCCCTGATGAATATACAGTAGAGGTGACAAATTGATTTAAGGAATTAGATCTGATAGATCTGATGGACAGAGGTTCACAACATTGTACAAGAGGTAGCAACTAAAACCATCTTAAAGAAAAAGAAAGGCAAGAAAACAAAATGGTTGTCTGAGGAAGCTTTGCAAACAGCTGAGAAAAGAAGGGAAGCGAAAGGCAAGGGAGAAAGAGAAAGGTACACCCAGTTGAATGCAGAATTCCAGAGAAGAGCTAGAAGAGATAAGAATGCATTCTTAAATGAACAGTGCAAAGAAATAGAAGAAAACAATAGAATAGGGGGGACCAGAGATCTCTTCAAGAAAATTGGAGATATGAAGGGGATGTTTCATACAAAGATGGGCATGATAAAGGACCAAATGGCAGGGACTTAACAGAGGCAGAATGTTAAGTTTCCGAAAGATGCCCTAATTAATTCATGAGCCATGAGCTGAACTTCAAAAGAAATACAGTCATTTATTAGGAGCACCATTTCGGCAATATTCGGATGCAGTTAGAACTAATCCCATGTAGATTTACATTCCCCTATGACCCTGTCTCTCCCCTCCTCTCTGGCCATGTCATAAATCACATTCTCCAATTAACCACTTTGGCTGGCTGTGAAATCCAACACCCTCCTTCTGATTGCGGTCAGGAAGAATGTATGGAATGCACTTCAGTTAGGGAAATCAATCAGCTCTATCAGTTCTCCCTCCGTCCTGCTCATGGCAACTTGAAAGCTTTGCAAGTTGATACAGAAGATTAAGAAGAAGTGGCAAAATTACACAGAAGAACAAGTATGAGCTTAACATATCTGATTACCTTGATGGGATGGTCACTTACCTTGAGCCAGACATCCTAGAATGTGAAGTCAAATGGGCCTTAGAATATCTGAGCAACAACAAAGCTAGTAGAGGAGACAATATTCCAGCTGAGCTATTCAAAATCTTAAAAGACAATGCAGTAAAAGTGCTACACTCAATTTGCCAGCAAATTTGGAAAACTCAACAGTGGCCACAGGATTGGAAAAGGTCAGTTCACATTCCAATTCCAAAGAAAGGCAATGCCAAAGAATATTCAAACTATTGCACCATTGCACTCATTTCACATGCTATTAAGGTTATGCTTAAAATCCTACAAGCTAGGCTCAAGCAGTATGTTGATCAAGAACTACCAGAAGTACAGACAGCATTTCGAAGAGGCAGAGGAACTAGAGATCAAATTGCCAACATACGCTGGATCATGGAGAAAGCTAGGGAATTCCAGAAAAACATTTACTTCTGCTTCATTGACTATGCTAAAGCTTTTGACTGTGTGGGTCACAACAAATTGTGGCAAGTTCTTAAAGAGATGGAGTACCAGACCATCTTATTTGTCTCTTGAGAAACCTATATGCAGGTCAAGAAGCAACAGTGAGAACTAGACACGGAACCACTGATTGGTTCAAATTGAAAAAGGAGTCTGGCAAGGCTATATACTGTCACCCTGCCTATTTAACTTATATGCAGAGCACAATATGAGAAAAGCGGGTTTAGATGAATCAAAAATTGGAATTAAGATTGCCGGGAGAAATAACAACAACCTCAAATATGCAGATGATACCACTCTAATGGCAGAAAGCGAAGAGGAACTAAAGAGCCTCTTGATGCAGATGAAGAAGGAGAGTGCAAAAGTTGGCTTGAAACTCAACATTAAGAAAACTAAGATCATGGCATCAGGCCCTCTCAATTCCTGGCAAATAGATGTGGAAGTAGTAGGAACGGGAGGTAGTGACAGATTTTATTTTCCTAGGCTCCAAGATCACCACAGATAGGGACTGCAGCCAAGAAATTAAAAGACGCTTGCTCCTGAGAAGGAAAGCTATGGCAAATCTAGACAGCATACTAAAAAGCAGAGACATCACCCTGCCAAAAAAAGGCTATGGTTTTTCCAGTTGCAATGTATGGCTGTGAAAGCTGGACCATAAGAAAGGCTGAGTGCCAAAGAATTGAGGCCTTTGAACTATGGTGCTGGAGAAGACTCCTGTAAGTCCCTTGGACTGCAAAGCGATCAAACCGGTCAGTCTAAAGAGATCAACCCTGACTGCTCTTTAGAAGGCCAGATCCTGAACATGAAATTCAAATATTTTGGCCACCTAATGAGAAGGAAGGACTCACTGGAGAAGAGCCTAATGCTGGGAATGATTGAGGGCAAAAGAAGAAGGGGATGGCAGAGAATGAGATGGCTGGATGGAGTCACTGAAGTAGTCGGCATGAGCTTAAATGGACTCCAGAGAATGGTAGAGGACAGGAAGGCCTGGAGGAACATTGTCCATGGGGTCGCAATGGGACACGACTTCACAACTAACAACAACAAAGGTACTAGAGTACTATAGTTAATGTCTAGGAATTAGAGATAGTTTTTGATTTACAACCACAGTTGAGCCCAAAATTTCTGCTGCTAAGCAATGCAGTTGTTAAGTGAATTTTGCCCCATTTTGTGATCTTTTTTGCCACAGTTGTTAAGCGAATCACTTTAGTTGTTAAGTGAATCATGCAGATGTTAAGCAAGTCTGCCTTCGCCATTAACTTTGCTTGCCAGTTGCCAAGTGCCCGGATTTTGATCTCATGACTATAGGGATGCTACTTCAATGGCTTCTAAATGTGAAAACTGGTTGTGAAATGTAAAAAAAGCAAAAACAGAGCTCAGAGGAAGGCGTGCGGCCCACCTGGCCTCCATTTTCAGCCATGATGGCCTCCTGCAGCTCTCTGCCAGTGAAAACAGAGCTCTCTGCCAACAAAAATGGAGCTGGGGGGGGCGGGGCTTGCTGGCAGAGGCACCCCAGGCCGGTCTTTGCTCTTTCCAGGGCAGTCCCATGGACCACATCTAAGCACCTTGCAGGCCAGATCTGGCCCACGGGCCTTGAGTTTGACACCCCTAAGCTAGGGCTATTTAGTTTCAACCAAGTATTATATGTGTGTATGTATGTGTGTGTTCAATTTTAAATGAAGCATACCAACTTTTTTCTTCTTGTTTATTTTTTTAAAGTTCAAACAAAATATTTCTCTTTTAATTTCTGTCAGTTTAGGTTGAATGCACAAAGGTGTTTGAAGCAGGAGTGAAATCTAAATTTTTTTGC